CTATACGGTGATGCCTTTCGGTCTGAAGAATGCCGGTGCCACATACCAGCGAGCGATGACTAAGATTTTCCAAGAACATCTCAGGAAAACAGTCGAATGCTACGTTGATGATTTGGTTGTGAAAAGCCGCAACAAAGAAGATCACATCAAGGATTTGAAGACGATGTTCGATCTCATGAGGAGTCATCAATTGAAGATGAACCCCACTAAATCATTCCTTGTAATGTCCAGTGGAAAATTCCTTGGGTTCGTCATCACCACTAAGGGTATACATATCGATCCCGATAAGGTGAAGGCGATACATGAATTGCAACCCCCGAGGAATCTGAGAGAACTCAGAGGATTGCAAGGGCGTTTAGCTTACATCAGGCGGTTCATCTCAAATCTCTCTGGGAAGTGCCAACCTTTCTCTAAGCTAAACAAGAAGGGTGTATCATTTATTTGGGACGACGCCTGCCAAAAGGCACTCGAGGATATCAAGACATATCTGACAAATCCTCCTGTTCTCGTTGCACCAAAATCAGGTAAACCGTTCTTGATTTACATCAAGGCGATGAACCATTCGATAAGTGCTTTGTTAGCACAAGACGATGATAATGGTCACGAACAGGCTGTTTATTATTTAAGTCGGACTTTGGTGGGCGCTGAGTCTCGATATCCGATGATTGAGAAAGAATGTCTTGCGTTGGTGTTTGCAGTGCAAAAGATGCGGCATTACTTAGTGGGACAAACAATTTACGTTATCTCCAAAGTTAATCCCGTGCGAGTATTTATGACGCAACCGGGTTCGATGAATTGGCGGTTGGTAAAATGGGCCATCCTCTTGTCCCAATACGATTTGCATTTCAAACAGCAAAAGTCGGTCAAGGGACAAGCAATTTGTGATCTTTTGGCGGCAAACCCGACCACAGATGCGGCAGAAGTATATGATGACTTGCCGGATGAAACCCACGAGGTTAACACTACATCGCACCAGCAAGTATGGCAATTATATTTTGATGGTGCTTCAAGAGCAGTTAATAGGGTAATAACCCCGGGATGTCCCACCGTCTCCTCTGGAGTTGGAGTCGTCTTAATCTCCCCGGGAAAGCATGTAATGCCCCGAGCTTATTCATTGACTGATCCGTGTTCCAATAACGTGGCCGAGTACAATGCACTTCTCATTGGACTCAGTTTCGCCAAGGAGCTGGGGGTCGAATATCTCGAAGCTTTTGGGGATTCTCAATTGATAGTCAACCAGGTCCGTGGAGAGTATGAAGTCAGGAATCAAGACCTGATCCCGTACCACCAGGAAGCCATCAAAATGGCAGAATCTTTCGAAGAATTCTTCATCGAATATATCCCTCGTCTCCAGAACGCTTATGCAGACGCACTGGCGGCACTAGCAGTATCACTGGCACAGCCTCCCGAAGCTGAGCTGTTAGTCACAGTACGGACGCATCAACTCTGCGTACCCATATACAGTAGGGATATTGAAGAGGAAGATGACGGAAACGTAAACGCCAAGGAGGTGAATTCAACTCAAATTGGGTCTGAGTCCCGAGATTGGCGTTTTCCCATCATTGACTACGTCCAGTATGGTATTCTGCCAGAAGACGTAAAAGAAAGGGAATCAATTCGTCGAAGAGCGCCAAGATTCTTTTATAATGCCGAGACCCATACGTTATACCGTAGAGGATATGATGGTTTATTACTCCGATGCCTTTCGAACAAAGAAGCAGAAGAAGTTCTTAAGGAAGCGCATGAAGGAGAATGTGGTGCGCATCAGCCCGGTCCCAAACTGTATGATCGCATCAGGAGGATGGGATATTTCTGGCCAACGATGGTTCGTGACGCAATCGAATGTGCACGAGAATGCCACACTTGCCAGATACATGCAAATTATATGCATCAACCGCGAGAGCAGTTGCACACATCAACCACGTCATGGTCGTTCGAAGTATGGGGCATGGACATTGTTGGTCCTATTTTTCCCCCCTCAGTCAAAGGCGATCGATTCATTCTGGCAATCACGGATTACTTCTCAAAGTGGGCTGAAGCAATTCCGCTTAAAGAAGTAAAGACGAACAACGTCATCAATTTCATCAAGCATCATGTCATCTACAGACACGGCGTGCCAAGAAGGATCATTCATGACAACTGTCCGCAATTTATAAGCAACGCCTTCATCAGATTTTGTGACAAGTTCAAAATTGAAGACGTTTCATCAACACCTTATTATCCCGCCGTGAATGTATTAACGGAGGCGTTTAACAAGACGATCATTAAGATCCTGTCAAAACCCGTGAAAACCAATAAACGAGACTGGGACGATAAACTCAATGAGGCACTCTGGGCTTATCGCACCACCATACGCACGCCCACAGGCGCTACCCCGTATTCGCTGGTATACGGATGTGAAGCTGTGCTACCGCTGGAAATTCAGATTCCATCCCTTCAACATCAGAAGCGTCTCGAAGAGCTCGAGAGGCTGGATGAAAAGCGCTTGGAAGCTCAACAGCAAATTGAGTTTTATCAGGCCAGGATGTCTAGGGCTTTTAACAAAAGAGTCCGACAGAGAAGCTTCAAGGAAGGAGATCTGGTCCTCGCTGCTCGCCGACCAATAATCCTCACTTCCAAGAAGAAAGGTAAATTCGAACCCAAATGGGAAGGGCTGTTTGTGATAGACACAGTCTACTCAAACGGCGCATATCGCCTAATTACTCAAGAAGGCACCCGGCAATTGATGCTAATAAATGGAAAGTTCCTGAAAAAGTACTATCCCTAGTACATTCAGGGTAACCCATTTACCGGGAAGTTCCTTGAAGAATATTACACTTATATTCTAGAGGATAACCCAAAATCATTTTCACCACCAAAATCCCTCACTGATCAATTTCAATTGACAGCGAGTCCACCAAAAGTGTCTTTCTGGCCCTCTTGACTCTTTCCATGAACAAGAGGTCCGACAGTGAGTCCACCAAAAATGTTTTTCTGGCCCTCTTGATTCTTTCCATGAACAAGAGGTCCATTTTCAGTTCGGAGTCCCCTTTCGATAAACGAAAGAACTCCTTCCCTTTTTCTCTTTGGTTAAACCTCCTCATGGCTATAACCGAAGTTGAGGTTTCACTTCGATAAACGAAGAACTCCTTTTTTTTAGATTCTCGGAGTGGAGATCCCACTTCTAGTTTCTTTTTGTGCTGGAAATAGAATATAAAATTCTTCCTTTCCAGAATCAAGGAATAGAATATAAAATTCTTCCTTCCTTGATTATTCGGGTTCGCCTTCACCCTAAAAGAAGACCGGGAAATAGAATATAAAATTCTTCCTTTCCCGTACCGATCTTTCCAAAATTTGTCAATATAGGATTCATCCTAGGAAGTTTATCCCGAATCCTAAGCAGGGATAAGTCTGCGCCTAACACGCGCTGCCGGTTTAGTCTTTTTCCGCAGAAAAAGACACCAGCGTTCGATTCTGGGGTATTCTGTCCTGAAACCTAAGTAAGGATAAGTCTGCATATAACATGCGCTGCCGGTTAGTTCTTAACCGCTAAAAAGAACACATGTCCACATATTCAACATTGTGGCAGGTTGTTATTAATAACACCAAAATCCATGCCTTACACGCATGGGGAATTTCATCCTGAATCCTAAGAAAGGATATGCCGACGCCTAACACGCGTCGCCGGTTTAGTCTTTCGCCATAGAAAAAGACACCAGAATACCAGTCTGGGGTATTTTATCCCGAAACCTAAGTAGGGATAAAGTCAACACCTAACACGTGTTGCCGGGTAGCTTATTCCCGTAACAATGGCGAAGTCTACGTATTCAAAATCGTAGCATCAAGTCTAAGGGAGTTCATTCCTTTAGCGCAACGTTACATGTGGAACGGATTTAGACAATTCGCATGCTAGCCCGACTCAAATGGTAGTCGGTAAAGGCTAATCAAATCCGTTGAAGGCTGGGGGTTAGCCAAAAATCCTGAAGTCAACACCTAACATGTGTCGCCGGGTAGCCTATTCCCGTAACAATAGTCTCGGAGAATTCAATCTCCGAGCATAACGTTACATGCGAACGGATTTAAACAATCTGCATGCTAGCCCGACTCAAACGGTAGTCGGTAAAGGCTCATCAAACCCGTTAATGGCTGAGGGTTTGCCAAAAATCCTATGAGTATTGTGGTCAATCATTTCAAATAGAATGACGAATCATAATAAAGACAAAAGCAAGTTTCACTAAGAGAATCAAAAGTCAAAGTGTTCAGCAAACAAAATCATACATCAAGACCATGGTCAAAAATCTGCTGACTGATCTTAGAAAGCTTCTCATCATAAGCTTGCCTAAGTTCAGCCCTGATGGACCCCTCGATGGTGGCTGAAGTCCTCGCAGCGATCTCTTCTGTCTCGGCTAGCTTCTGCTCCAGGGATCTCAACTCATCAGATAAAGCAGTGTGGGTTTGCTGATCCTGTACTTTCGTCATCTGAAGAATATCCAAAGTCTCCTCTTTTTCACGGAGTGTTCTTCTGAGCTGGTCTATCTCGGTCGCACAGGAGGTAATAGAAAGATCGATCTCGGCAAGCGAAGATAATTTAGTAGCAAGACTCGTCCTAACTCGATCTACTCGGCCCCGCTGCATCTGAATCTCGAGCTCAGCAAAAATCCGAGTCTCGCGTGATGACTGTAAGCGGGTGTCCAGCTCGGCAGCAATAAATGAGGAAACACCTGCATCTCGGAGCTCACGAAACATCTGAAGCTCATGCTCTAGGCAATCAAGGTCATCAACTATAGCCTGTGCCAAATCTGGATGTCCCGCTTCCCTTATCAAATTGACTTTAGAATCAAGGAAAGGCTTGAATTGGCGAAGAGAAAGTCCACCATGGAAAAGCTTGCCAATCATAGCATTCATGAAAGAGAAGAAGGAGCGAACTTCTATACAGATGACAATCTTCTCAGGATCATCATCAGATAACAACTCCCTCGCCAGAATATGAAGACGAGAAGAAGGCCCTGCACAAAAAAAAAAAGATAAAACCGTCAGAAAAAGACCTTGAAGAGTAAATAAATAGTATTCATACCCTCTTGAGTCACTGGGGGTGGTGGAGGTGTAACGGCTGGGGGTGTATCAACTGGTGTAGTTGGTCCCATAGCCGGCTCAACAGGGTCATTCTCAACAAAAACTCCTGTTAAATACAAGTCAGAATTCTCAGAGGCATCACATTATAGCTGCATTAGTCAAAATTGGCTAGTCCTATAATTAATTTGGGAGGAGGCATATACCTTCGAAAGAATCATCCTCAAGATTCTTATCGAACGTAGGCTCGGAAAATATATCTCCGGGTAACTGGCCATCAAATTGAGGAGAGCTATACATGAAGTGGAGTGTAGGAGTCTCCGCGATCAAGCCTTCCTCGTCAAAATCATCAATAGAGAAATCTGACGTAAAAGAATATAAGTACCAAAGAAGAATAAAGAGACTACAACCAACAAAAATGAGTTACCCCTTATGGATGCGTTAGCCTCTTTATTCCCAAAATCCACGTATGCCTCCTGCAAGTTATCTGAAGAAGCAAGATGTACAGAGATGATTAGAGGATGCACAAATTCTTTTGTATACCATCTAAAAGATACATTGTCAATAGTAGATGTACCTGGATCTGCGGAATCAGGTCCTACATTGCTATCCTCCCTAATGTCGGCAACCCCTGTAGGCCTTTTTAACTGGGGCAGCGGGTCAGGCTCACCAGGAGACACAGGAACGGAATCGGGACTCATTTCGCTCTCTCCACGCTCTCCTATATAGAGATGGAAAAGCATGAGTCAATGTTCCGAATAACCAAGAAGGTGGTTTACAGAGTAGATGTTACCCCCGTCACTAGCAGGATCATCACCAGCCAAGTCCATATCAAATGCTCGGGAAGCTGCACGCGGCTTGCGGGCTAATCTCTTCCGCCTAGCAGCAGGAACAATAATCGAAGGTCTCGCCTGGGGAGGGGGACGGAACTCTTCATCCTGGTCAACTGTGGTCCCTGAAACATCAAACCATAGTCAGTTTCAATATTTCTGGAAGATGGAAGGAAAAGATGAATAGCAAACCTCGCTCGAAAAAGTCTTCATAATCTTCAGGATCTCCCCCTGAAGCCTCGTCTGCGGAATGAAAGGTCTTCTTTCCCTCTTCATCAATCCGACGAGTCTTGTTCCGTGTCCTCTGTGATCGAGCGTTTCCCAAATCCTACGGGAATCAACCTGAGAAGCTTCCTCGGCCTCTAACTCTGCAATCGGCTTCACGGGGATAGTCTTGTTGGCTGCTAACAACCACTTGCAGCTTAAGAAAGTGAGGTTCAACTGCCGATCAGCACTCGGGAGACTGAATTTAGCACCAGTACAGCCAGTCACGGTCCACAACCACGCACGGAGACCATCTACCAAACCACCGTGGCTCTATAAAACACTGATTCCCCACCCGGAAAGTCAAGTAGCCCGGCCTGATGTTCACTAGCCAATTAAAGCAGCCGATATCTAAATAAGTGCGATACTCCCTCGGCTTCTCCTCATCAATCAAACATTCGCCATACCGGCTGGAGAACTGCGGAAAACAAGTAGAGAACGCCCAGCACTTGTGGACCTGTAGCTGCCTCCTGATATCAGAGAATCCTCGGCCTTCCCACTCGCCATTCTCAAGCAGCTGTAGTAAGGGAACAGAGTGGTCCATGGCATGCGGTACCGACATCATGTCAGAACGATGAAGGACGAACCAAGCCATCAAATAAACATACGGAAGCTCCACCTTAGTAGTGGGAATCTGAGTCGGCGATTCACTCCCCTTCCGTGTGAAAGCACCGGAAATCTGTCGAAGCCCTCGATGAATGTTAGCCACCATCACCGGAAGAAGTGAAAGTTCCTTTCTGTAGGCAAGTTGAACCGCAGGGTAGAGCACTTCCAGTGGCAGAGCGTCACCGGACTGATACGGGACTACGCATTTCTTTAACCAGATGGCGAGGTAGCCGGCAAGAAGAGTCATTGGACGAATCGGTGCGGTCGCATGGCATAAGAATGATTTGAATTTAGTCCCTGCAGGAAAGCCACTCTCAGGACTGCTAATGGTATAGGAGCGGGCGCCAGTCTTCTTCAGCAACTTATTAACCTCTGAAGGAGTCAACGGTGCCAGTTCACAAATAGTTTTGCCAGAATGGCTCTCCAGATTCCTGAACAAATATGATGCGAACTGCTTCAGGCTCACATTTGATTTGGTCCTCTTCGCTAGGGGCTTAGACTGCGCCAAAGCAATGTGATAGTGACAAGTGAGGTCCCATAAGGTCTCGTAACGGTCGGGCATGCGATCCTTCAGCTGACTCAGTTCATGGTTGGAAGGAAAATACTCCTGGTATAACATCTGACCCATGGGCAAACCAGAAATCTTATGCATCTCATGAAGAGCCAAACCCAACTCTCCGTGCCTAGTCAGAAAGGTGTTCGAATCCGGATTATAAAGCTCGCATAAGGCAAAGAAATGCTTCGCACTAACGGGTAAACCATGCATGGTGGCACGAATGGCTGCATAAAGACCGCAAGCGTGCAACTCCTCGCTCCATCTGCTCAAGACGTACTTTGTCATACGATCCCACCAAAACTTGTCCAAAGAATGGACCCAACCATAGAATCTGTGGCGCGACGCAGGCATCTCCCGTCCTAAGTTAGCGAGGCGATTCCTCAAAGTGGAAGCAGAGGCAAGGAACTCGTTACGGGGCGGTGCATCTAGTCCCAGCACTCCAGGACGCAGTCCAACAATATGATTCCTGCTCGAACCAGGAACTGCCTGATGAGTAATGTAGCCGCAGTGAACGCTCTCATGCTCCTCTGTCAAGCGCCACGACATCTCCCGTTTCACAGCCTGACGCCTAAGCTCAGTCAAAGAACGATGTCGAGGAATCTTCGGCAAATACAGGAAACTACTGCCAGCCTTATGAAGCCACTGCTCGGCATCAATAAACGCTGCATCGGGATCTTCAACAGAGTCACCAAACAAAAAATCAGTCTTCCTGAGAGACTGAACGGAACTGGCGTCCTTCACAAGAGGTGCATCGGTAATCAACTGTCGAAGAGCTCGGTGCCCACCTTCCTTCACCGCCTGTACAACCTCAGTCGATGTGTCCAAAACGAACTGAGAGGTGACTGGGATAGGGGAAACATCGTCGGAGGTCGAATAATACTCGCCACGACGCCCGTATACTGCGTGAGATGAGAACGCTCCAGAAGGGTATTCAACTGAGAACAAGCAATTAAACGTTTGTTAATTCCAGTTATAAAAGGAAATTGAACTCATCTTACGAAGGGGTAAGATAGAGTCATTGCCTTATAAAGGGTGTGACGTTTTGGCCACGTTGCGCCTTCATAAGATAGGGTATATCGACAATATATCCCTGCCTTATAAGGCACAACGCAGCGACAAAACGCCCCCTTTATTTATTATGAGATAGTGTTTTGACCAAGCAAAACATATCTTTGAAGCGTCGATCCTCACCAAGGAGAATCAAGGCTTTTCCCGGTTGCCTCACCAAGGAGAACAACGGGGAGTAAAAAGGACCAATTTGCAAATTTCCAAGAAAAAATGGACTAATTTGTAAATTTCCAGAAAAAAGTGGCTCACCAGCATAAGAGGGAGGCGCGCCATCAGTCGGCACGGTAGAGGATTGACCCCTCGCCATACGGGACATAGAGACCTGCAAGGTAAATTGAGGGATCAGATCTAGAAAAGGAAAAATCCCATTTTTTATCGCAATTCCACCTCTAAAAAGGCGAGCTTGAGGCATCAAATCACACCCTCAACCCTTATATGCGATCCCACGACTCCATACACTAGATCGAACATGAAATAGATCAAGATTGCGGAGGATTTACCTGAAGAAAAGCCCAAAATTCAATAAAGGCGAGACCTTTAAGGAAACTTGAACCACACGCTCGAGGGGCCTGAGAGAAACTTTTTATTTGGAATTTTTGGGGGATTTCTCAGTCCAAGATCTAAAGGAAAGCTAGATCTAATACAGATCTGAAGTTTGGAGGGAGAAAAGAGGCTTGTGAGAAAAGAAATCAAGAGAAGAGAGGGAGGGGGTGGCCGGCCCTAGAAAGAGAGGAAGAAAAAGAAAAAAAAAAGAACCTCTTTTATAGCCTCGAACCAGATCTGGCTGAACCAGACCAGACCGGGCTAAACCAGACCAAGCCAGATTGGACCAGAATGCAGATCTGGCTGAACCAGACCAGACCGGGCTAAACCAGACCAAGCCAGATTGGACCAGAATGGACCAGAGTGGACCAGAATGAGCCAGATTGAGCCCAAATTGAGCCAGATTGAGCCTGGCTGGACCAGACCAGACCAGAATGAGCCAAATTGAGCCAGATTGAACCAGAATGAGCCAGTCTGAGCCAAATTGAACCAGTTTGAACCAAATTTGAACCAGAATTCAAATTGAAGCTGAATCAAGCATTGAAACGACTTTTGATCAACCTACGGTTCAGTCCTTCACCTATTTAACCCCTCTACCATATATTTGGAAGGGTCGGAGAGATTTTTGAACCCAAATACTGCCTTTTTGGCACATTTTTTTTGGGCCGGTTCAGATTATTCGAACCTAAAGAATACTCCAATAAGGTATACGAGTATAAACTATTCCCTCCTCTTTGTTGAGAAGTTTCTGGAGAATATTTTTCTAAAAATATTCTTAAGGATAACTCAACATAACTCTCAGGAGTGTATGAGTATAAACTAGACCTCCCCGCTCCAACTCCTTAAGAGCGTAAACTGTGTAGACTCCCAGGAGTGTATGAGTATAAACTAGACCTCCCCGCTCCAACTCCTTAAGAGCGTAAACTGTGTAGACTCCAAAATACTTACGGGTGTAAACTGTGTTAAACGCCGGACAACGCGTCACAATGAAGATTCAAAGCCGTCAACCGATGGTCAATTCCATGTTGAAGCAACTAATTCGAGCTAAAAGCCAGGAAATCAAGAATCGACTTCAAATTCAAAATTCTGACAACGGTCAGACAATAAATGCAGCACCGGAACCCTCTCAAGCATTCGACAAAGCACCGAATTGCTTGGAGGATCGAAGGAATCGAGAATAGAAGCCATTCCAAGAGCCCGTTACACCGATTGAAGGTTGGGACAGTCATATCCAAAGTATTCCAGACTCTTCTATAAAAGAACGAGACTGGAAAACTTTGGAGGGGGTATCTGTAGGCATATAAAATTGCTTATAGGTCCCTTAACACGGCTCAACACGAACTAATGAACCATCAGGCGACGCATCTAAGCACGAACGTCAGTCCACAACACCGAAGCCAAGTGACACGCAATGAAGCGGATTAACAAGGCTACGAAGCTGATGAACCGCACGTGAACGATGGAATGAATCCACTCGTGTGCGGAATCAAACCAACGGTCCAGGGAGTCAACGAGTCATCCAACCATATAACGGACTCGAACTCAGACACCAAAGCCGATTTACTGCCTAATCGGGATCCAGACTTCCAAATCAGGATTCAGAATAAATCGGGGTTCATAGCAACGCCACAGGCGAACTCGGATGAATCGCGATCAAGTCATGATCAGTTTTGGAATCAAACTCAGAGTCGGATTTATTGCAAAATCAGGAATCAAGTCAATGAATCGATTTCAGACCAATCAACCGCATAACCGAATCACGGACGAAGCGGATACAAGAACCGAAACAACCGAACGACGGACGCACTCAGGGTGGCTCGGCATGAGCCGAGCCACCCTGAGGTGGCCGC